TAAAATAAAATCTTAACAAAACTCAAATTATCTTAATATTAAATAAATAAATAAATAAAAATAAATCCTTTAACTAGTCAAATATCTTCAATCAATTCAAACCCTTTTATTAATTTATTCTAATTTCAAGCTCTTTAATTAATATAATATATCTAATCTAAGAAGAATTCTAATTATATAATTAGAATTCTTCTCAGAAAAATATAAAAAAAATAATTAATGATTACTATATATTAAAAATAAGAATATATAATAAATACTTTCTTACTATTTATATATAATATATATATATTATTATCTGCAATTTATCTTAATATCTCAAATCTTACCTAATTTTTATTCATCTATTTACTAACTAAACCAAGATAATTTGAGTTGATAAAGTATTACTATAACTTTACTAATAGAAATGTATCTACAATTTTATCTCTTGTTTCTCAGGAGGTATATTAAAAATTAATTTATATAATAAGTCATAACATATTCAAACCAAAAAAGACAAAAGATCAGCAAGATTTCAAAATGTCAAAGAATTATGCGACAAATTAAATAAATAATAGTATCTTTGAACAAGAATTCAAAAAAAAGAAAATCACTATTATATAATGAAATATCTGGCTATTATATAATGAAATCTATTATATAAATTTGTGGTAACGGAGATCGTGGTGGTATAAATGGTAGAAAAAAAAATTCTGGTGAAGGTGAAGAAGAAGAAGAAGATGATGATAAAAATGGTGGCGAAAATGGTGATGATGAAGATAATGGTGAAAGTTCTAATGGTAATGGTGGTGATAATGTTGGCAAAGGTGGTGATGATAGTGTCAGCAAAGATGATAATGATAATGATGATGATGGTGATGGTGGTGGTGGTGATGTTGTTAATGATGTCGATGATATTTTTTTAATTCTTTTGTTATTGTCATATTTTCTCAAATTATATTTTTTATTATGATCCTTATTGTTATTATCATTATCGTCAAGTTTTATTTGTAAAGAAGACTTAGCATCTTTCAAAGATTCGATTGATTCTTTGAGTTCATCTTCTTGAGAAAGAACATATGGTTCAACCCCAGTTGGAATATAGTATACTGCAAATGGAATGAGGACCGACCCCTGAGCATATGGATACATCTTTTTTTTAAACTCGTCAAAACTACATGAAGGCTGTTTTTTTGCTTATAAATTGGCTGAATATTCATAATTTGTCAAGGCTGCGTATAATTGTCACCTCCCCTTTCTACTTGTGACCTTGCATGAATTTTCAAAGCAATGTCTGAAAGACCAACAGTTGGCATTGTTGACATTTCTTTAATTAATCTCTCTTTAGCCTCCCATGTAATTAATACGGGAAATGTATATTGCAATTTTTTTCGTACGCGTTCTGAATGTTTTTGCGCAAGTGAATTAAAACCCGGATGTAACTGTTCAATTTCGAATTTTCTTTTTTTAGGATTTTCTGATAGTTGAATTAGAGGTAAAGATTCTGCTGATAAAGGTGGAATAATTTGAGATAAATATAGACGGAGTGTTTCATTTGATGAAGATGATGACGACGAAGATGGAGATGATAATGAAGACAGAGAAGATAACAGAGAAGGAGATGAAGACGACGATGACGATGAAAACAGAGATGGAGACGAAGACGACAATGATAATGGAAACAGAGATGGAGACGAAGATGATGATAATGGAAACAAAGATGGAGACGGAGACAACGATGACAATGGAAACAGAGATGGAGATGGAGATGGAGAGTTACTTCTGTTATTAGATATTTCTTTAGATGTTTTTGTGCTTAATATTTCGTTTAAGAAAGATGCTGCTGAAGAGCTAGATATTAGGTCCGATACAGATTCTTGTTTCTTTGATCTTTTGAGTTGAACCATTTCTTCTTTAGTTAAAAAAATTACAGGTGGAATTAATACATTAGGCAGAATTGACATCATTCCTTGTAAATCGTTATCCGATGAGGAATCAGAATTATTGGATTTTTTGCAATCTATTAATGGTATAATATTTTTAAAGTCAGTGGCTGCCAAAAGTTTTGCATCACGCGAATAAAAAAATAAAAAATGCAATATTTTATGTTTCATATGTTATTTACATGTGAAGTCAAGTGTATTCAAAAAAGGAGAATCTTGATTATCTTTAAACTCGATATAGATCACAATATATTATATTCATTATAATTTTGTATTTATTTCTTTCCAAAAGTGGTGATGCGTTACTTTTGATCAATAATCTATTTAAATGTAAGACTATATAAAATATACAAAATTTCATAACAAATCTTATTTTGTATGCTATATAAAAATTATACCTACGAATATAATCTTTCATTTTATTTAAAAAAATAATAATTAAATCAATATGGGTCACATTACTATGAACAAAGATCACGAATCTCCGCCCTTCTTGATGAAGGATTTTCCTTCTATAATATTGCATCAAAAGAAAATGTCGCATAATCTTCTATTATCCATCTTAAAAAAAAACTCGAAACAACTGGTTCCATAAAAGATTTACCAAAATCTGGTCATCCTCGAATTTTAACTGAGTGTGATGAGCGTAATATTATACGATTTATTTCAAGTGGCGAATGTTCAAATGCTATGAAAATTCAAAAAAAAATTAAAAAACAATAATAAAATTAATATAAGCAACAATACTATAAGAAGAACTTAGGTTTTTTGTTCCAACTTTGGTGTTTGCTCTTTTAAAATGCGTTTGACCTGCTTTTTTAATACGTAGACATGGTTTATCTGCAAGAGTTAAACGAAAGAAGCCTTATTTAAGTAAAAAAAACATCAAAAATTACGTTTAAAATTTGCAAAAGAACATAAAGATTGGCAAATAAAGGATTGGAATAAGGTCCTTTGGTCAGACGAGTCAAAATTTATGTTATTCCGATCAAATGGTCATGAATATTGTTGGAAATATAAAAATGAACCTCTTAATGACCATCTTGTAAAACCTACAGTTAAATTTGTGGTGGTAGTATTATGATTTGGGGTTGTTTTTCTTCTTTTGGGGTCGGAAATATCGTAAGAATTTATGGTACCATGGATTAAGAATTATATCATGAAATATTAACGGATGACTTATTGGGAACCATCGAGTACAACGAATTGGATAAAAATAATATTATTTTTATGCAAGATAATGATCCGAATCATGTGGCTAATAAAACGATGGAATGGTTTGATGATAATGGAATTAATGTAATGGAATGGCCCCTAATTTAAATCCAATTGAACATCTCTGGAACGAGGTAGATAGGCATCTGAAACAATTGGACATCCCAATCAATAATCAAGATCAACTGTGGGACGCTATTCAACAAATTTGGATAATGAATTTATAACTCGGAGTATGCCCGAGCGAATGGATGATGTAATTAATGCTAAAGGAGGGTATACTAGGTGGTAAAGAATGTTTTGTTTAAATTTTATTAGATTTTAATTGTTAGTTAGTTGGCAATAGTATTTTAATTTTTATATTTTAAATCAATCAAAAGAAACGCATTACGTAAAATTGCGTAAATCTCTTTTTTTTTGTTATTACGATAATAATTACCTATAAGATTATCCCTGTATGTTTTTTAAGATTCGCCGATTATGTATTAGTATGTTTAAATTTATGAATTTTCAATGTATGTGCGCAAAGTTATTGGATGATGCAAAACATTTGGCAGCCACTGTATATATAACCAGGGCTGGCAATTTTTCGTTATCAAGTTCGTTATAGCTGTACTTTCTATTCTGACTTATCCAGATCGTCGGCTTAAACAAGTTGCCAAACCAGTAAAGCAAGTCGATGACCAAATTCGGCAACTGGTGCACGATATGGCAGAAACAATGTACGCTGCGCCTGGCATCGGTCTGGCTGCAACTGTGAAAATTTTTTGGCAATTTGTCAATATACCGTTTTTTGGATCAATAAAGTGGCATTTAGCTTTTGTCGCATAAATACTCGTTTTCTAATACTTTTTGATAAATGTATCCCCAAATTGTTTATAATCAAATCATGTGCGCTTTTTTGCTTTACCATTTGGTGTAATCAGAGCTACGTAGCGACCAAGATTATATTATCCACCCTTTACTGATTTAATTATCATATTTCAATTCCATTTATAACAACGGCAAAAATTAAATTGCCCAATTGCATCTTCTCTCTGACGATTTCAAATACATGTACCATCCTCCCTTTGCTGAATTTCGATACCTCTCGAATACTTTTTTACCATCTTTGTGTACGCCAATGCCATTTCGAATTTACATTGTCATTCATTCTCTAATACAGAAGAAGAAAAGAATTATTTTTTTAGTCATGCAAAAAATAGCCTTGATAATATTTTTAAATTAGCAAATTTATTAAGAAAAATTGCGCGAGTTCAAAAAGGATATGATTTAAATAATAGTTTGCGAGATAGTTTATTAGACACAGGTTTTCAATTCAAATGATTAGCTTACAATCGCGATAATCCTCGTGAGTGAATATTATTTGATAACCATGAGGAAAAGGACCACATTAGCATGTTAAAAGCTTTTTTCTCATCTTTTTGCGTCCAATACCTTTTTGATAACAGAGCCACAATACATTTTGGTGATGAAAGGGGAGTTATTCGAATTACTTCTTTCCTCACATTTATCTATATCGTGGATGCATGTTTCGTGTTAAGAGTTTTGTGAAAGAAAAAAAAGAAGTTAGTGAAGATGAATTCTATTTGTTCTAAATGTGGATCATCAATCATTTTCTGTTTGGTGCTATACAAAAATTTGTCAACCGACCTAATGAAAATTTACAAAGATGTGTTCTTTTCGGCTTTTCCAGTTGTTGGTCGGGTCGAATTAGTCACCAACGAATCCTTTGTCCGGCAATTAGTTAATTTCGGCATGATTTCGTCGATGCAGGGAGAACTAGCTAATTCATTGGATATGTCGTTCGATATATGGTCATTCTCGAGTTCGACATTTTAATTTGCTCGCCTTCACCAATTAAAAATTTGGTTGCAACTTATGCTCTGTGATAGCACCTTGAAATTGGTTTGAAGGATTCGGACCAGATGTATAGCATAGGTTACGACCTCTTCTTGCTGCAAATTGTAATTTACTTGTTCTATGCAAAATAACGTATTTTTTTTCGTGTTCCATTTTCTTATACGGTTCACTATGTATATATTTTTGTTTGATTTCACCTGGTGATCGTAGAAATATTGCTCCACAAAGTTGCCGTTCACAAAAGTTGGCCGTTAATTTTCATTGTACGTGAGATCATTCCTTGCGCTATCTCGTCTCCCAGTTTAAGTTTATATTCTTCCTTTGTGGTTTCATTATTTTTGAGGTTGATTTTGTGGGTTCTTTGTTCACCAGTTTCTTTCGTTATTATATATCTTGAATTATCAGATTAGGATATGCATCTTTTGGTTTGCGTAGCTTGTACTTGGCGATTCCTTCTTTTACCATCGCCGGCTTCGTTGTTGCTTTGATTCTTCTCGTTGAATCTTTCATCAAGGGGCACCAAATTGTTAGCTGGATAAGGTTTTTAGCAGAATTAGTGTCATACGAACTGTTTATATATTGTTCTCATAATGATACAATGATCTTTATAAGAATGATGCATTATAAAGAAATAATCAATATCGATATTGTCATATATAAAATTATCTTTGTTAGATTGGCACGGGTTGGTCGGTAGTTATTCGGATTTGCACAATTTGAATTCTATTTTTATCATAGATCTCAATTACTTGAGAAACCCGAGAGGAACCAATAATCATATTTTTGTAAAATGGAATCTATTGTAAATTTATTCAATGAATTAGAAACCAATTCAACCGATGAACGAAGAGAAAAATTCAATATACTAAAAAATTTGATACAAAACTCTTGATAATGTTCATCAGTATCAAATATTTTTGTTTATAGAAATCCCTATAATCGAATTTAATTATTATATCAATTTTTTTAACAATAACAAATATAATTTCACAAATATAATTTCGAGTTATTTTTAAACTCGTCAAACATACCTATGAATTTTCTTTTTAAGGGAAGTATTAAAACAAGACAAGTTATTTAGCTAATTTAGTCATAATACATTATATTTGATTGGTGATACATGATTTGTAAAAAATAATTGCCAATCTATTCACATAATAAATAATAAAAATACTCTTGTAAGTAAAAAAAATTCTTGCTAAATGAAATTTACCTTTCTTCATAATATCATTTCTTTCTGTTCTTCCTTCTAACATTATTTTCATTTTTTTATACTCTTTGGAATAATATAATTTATGAGCTTCTTGAGCATTCTTAAAAATATTAATTATATCTAATATATTATAATCAGATATGAGCACTCTAACCTGCCAAAACAACATTCTCTAATTTAATATGATTTATATTTTCTATGTATTCTATAACTTAATTTATAATTTTTATATTTTCTAATCTGAATTATATAGTTATTCTTTGACTCTTGCTACTTTATATTGAATTTTCATGAGTATTTTTTTAATATTGATAAAGTATTCAAACTTTTTCTCAAAGAATTTGATAAGGAATAGATATTTATTAATAATATATAGACTAGAATTAATAGAAATAAATTATTAAATAGAAGTGAGTAGAAAATATATATATATATATAAACTCTTAAAACTCTAATAATTGAGTGGATATAAAGTTAGTATTCTTTTTGACAAACTTTGAATAACTTGAAAGCATTTTTCAATTAAGTATAAGACTAGAATTAAAATTACTTGATTTGTGAACAAGATTTGAATTGAAAATTATAAAGATTTCTCTATTTATTCTTATTCAATTGAAGAAAGTAATATATAAAAATGATCAAGATTTATTAAAGATATGATATCTAATAAAGCTATAAAAAAGTATAAGCCCCTCCATAATTACTAATATAATCTGAAAATAACTTTTCAAATTATATAAAAACTCTAGTATAGAATATCTTAGAACTTAGAAAGTTATATTAAATTGAAACTTATAGTTTAATAATCTCATATCTTATCAGAAATATTAATTTAAATATTAATATTCAGGATATATATAAGTTTTTAATTCAAGTTAAATACTTTTTTATTTAAATATTATATCAAGAATTATATTTTACAAGTTCTATATAATTAGAGAATCTAACATATTATAAATAGTTATTATTAATTGATTTTACTTATAATATTAATAAGTATAGTTAATACTTATTTATAATTTATATTTAGGATAATTGTGAATATTAATATATATATATTTTTTCATTAATAATAAAAATAGTATAGTAATTATGGCAGAATTGAAAATAATCTACTCTTTGATAAAGATCAAGATATACAGTGCTCGTCATAAATAACAAAAATTTAATTTGACGTAAACTGTATATATAAATTTTCCAATTGTGTACCCCCAATAACATCAGCTTTTAATGACAGTTTGTTTACATGTGTAACTTAAAAACAAGCTACAAAAAAAATCCTTCCCTATTTAGTCTCCATCACTTTTTTTTATTGCAAAATGGACAAGATCTCTCTTGCTGACCAATGAAAGACCGTAAGTAAGCTTTGGAGCCATGGCATTCATGACACCCTGATTCTGGTGAAATTAAGTGATACCCCCCTTTCTATAATATACAAGTATATTACTCAACTAAAAAAAAATCATAAACTTGAACCTATTTCACGTCCTAGATGTCCAACAATCTTAACTTCTCCAAATCGTCGCATGTTAGGAAGAATTATTCAAAATGATCAATACCTTACCTGCGAAGAAATTGTCATTAAGCTTAATAGTATGGTTAAAATATCAGCATGAACAGTAAACCATGAACTTAATAGGCTTGGTTACCACTCAAGTCACCCCAAAACAGTACCTTTACTTATCAAGAAACAATGTGAACGCCGTGTGGAATGGACAACTGCTCATGCAAGGCAAAACTGGAAAAATATTGTATTTTTGGACGAAACTACATTTCAGATATTTTATAACACTATAACTGCATTCTACAAGGCTGGTACAGATATTTCATAAAAGAGGATTCCAAAACATCCTGCAAAAGTTCATGTATGGGGCACTTTCTCAGCATGAGGAATGATTGGTTTTCATATTTTCACTCAGAATATGGATGAATTGCTTTACCATGATATTTTAACTAATAATCTTTTTGAGAATGCATCTAGAATCATGCTGTTATGCTGGGTCTTCCAACAGGATAATGATCCAAAGCACACAGCAAAAGAAATGGCAGAACTCCTTCATTGTCAAGTCCTAAAGATTCTCGATTAGCCCTTCTATAGTCTGGATTTAAACTCAATAGAGAATTTATAGGCTATTATCAAGAAAAGGGTAGAGAAATGAGTGAATAAAATAATTAGAAAGAAAAAAAAAATCAGCATTATGGACTGGTATGAGATAATTCGAGAAGAATGGGAGGATATTTCTGTGGACCTATGTCTTAATTTGGCAAACGGCATGTCAGTGCGGTTAAATGATATTATTGAAAATAATGGGAAAAAAATCGATCATTAGTATATATAATTTTTTTTTATAGATACTATACTGATGTCATTGTAAAACTGCAATCCAAATAAATAAATTTTGCGAAATTTATATTCGAAAAATGATTCTCATTATTTATGATGAGCACTGTATATTAACTGATCAGTATAGTATAAAAACTAATAAAATTATGATAATCTTTCCTAATCTCTATGTAAAAGAATAAAAATATAATATTCTTCTATATACTATTATATTATTTAAATATAGATTAAAAATATCTATTATAAATTAACTCTTAATAAAATGATTCAAGTAATGTACAAAAAAATTCAGATTAGTTATGAAATACTTGTTCAGAACATGATAATTATATATTTTTTATAAGTTAATACCAAATATATTTCTCAAAATTACTTAAAGAATTTAAAAAAGTAGGCATTCTAAATGTAATAATATTATTTTTTTTCTTTAAGTAACTTTAATAAATTCTTTTGAGTTTTATCACAGTAAACTCAAAATAAGAACTTCTATTATATATAATATTATTGATAGATTAATTTTTTATTTTTTTCTCTAATTTTTTTGATTTTTCTTCTTATTATTTATTATTTATTTTTTCTTCTCTTTTTTTCTCATTATTCATTCTTTATTTTTCCTTTTTTTTTTCTTTTTATCATTTATTTTTTATTTTTTCTTCTCTTTTTCTTCTCATTATTCATTATTTATTTTTTATTTTTCTCTTTCTTATCATTTATTCTTTATTTTCTCTTATTTTTTTCTTCTTGTCATTCATTTTTTATTTTTTCTCCTTTTTTTCTTCTTATTATTTATTTTTTATTTTCTTTCCTCTTTCTCTTTATTATTTATTCTTTATTTTCTTTCTCTTTTCTCTTATTTGTTCTTTTTTTCATTATTTTTATTTCTTTTTACTTTTATTCTTCTCTTTTATTTTTTCTTTTTATTATTTTTCTATTTTTTTTCTTCTTATTATTCATTTTTATTTTCTCTTTTCTTTTTCTTATTTTTTATTTGCTCTTTTTTCTTCTTATTATTTTTCTTTTTTTTCTTCAATTCTTCTCTTTTATTTCTCTTCTTATTATTTTTTTTCTTTGTTTTTTTTTATTTTTTTGATTTTCTTTTTTCTCTTCCTATTTATTATTTTTTTTATTTTAATTTATTTTTACTTTTTTAATATTTTTAAATATATATTATATAATCTTGAAACTTAATGAAAAAAAGAAATAATGGTAAAAAAGTTATCATCAATTTTCACATAAAAATAATATTTATTATTAATATAAATCTATTAGTTCTTGCCAAAATTTACAAATTTCTTTTTCTAATTCAGAAGCTTATTATAGAAGAGATATATATAATCTTGAAATAATTGCAAGAAGAAAAAAATATACTAAATCTCTTGATTACAGAATGTGATTATAAATTCTTTAATCATTATTTCCTATCTTATCACTATATTTTTCATATATAATTCTGTAGTAATATTAATATTCTGATATCAGAAGTATAGAAAAGTTTTCAAAAAACTTTTAAGAAAAATGATTTGAAATATATCAGTCTTATAGTTTAATGAAAATATTATAATCTCAATCATAAATGAAGATAATTATAGAAAAAAATTATTTAATAATAAATAAAATTATTTAAAAGAGCAAGAGATTTATATTATTATTTAATAAATCAGGATAATATAGAAAAAGTGATAAGATTTATTGAAAATTTAAAAGAGACTTTAATATCTGTTCTTTAATAAGAAATATTTTATTATAATACAAAAAAATAATAATTTTAATTCCTCCTCTCTTATTTTTATACTTATATATATTTTTAAGAATATTTAATATATAATAAAATTTCTATATTTATATAAAATTTTTAAGTAAATAATAAAATTTTAAGTAATAATTAATTATAAGAAGATCATAGAGATTACATTTAGAGCTTATTTTAATAATAAATTAATAATTAAATTTTATATTGTTAAATTAAAACAAAAAGTTACTAATATATAATTTTATTAAATCATATAGTCATGTTATTAATCAGATTTTAATTTATAAATTAAATAGTAAGATTATGTAAATTATGTGTTATCAATCAAATATGATATATATATGACTAAACTAGCTAAACAACTTGTTTTGCTTTAATAAATCTTATTAAATTTTCTTTTTTTTAGTCTTTATTTATTTATACATATGATAGGACAAGAATATATAATTTATTATATATAAAATAATCAAAA